CAGGTTGCATGCCACAACGAGTCTTATAGCTATTTATATATTATGGGATCGGGCTGCATGTTGTAGCTATATAGCGCTTGGGCTGAAGGAGCCCCTCCGGAGTCTGCACACCCCTTAGTGAGCACAATCGACTATATATATGGAGTGGGCTGCACGCCGCATTAGGTATTGTAGATCGCTGAATGATTGAGTGTGTTGGGCATAGTGAGAGAGAATGCGAGACAGTGAGATTGAGTACTTTGAGAGTATGAGTACATGAGCTCATCATCGAGATGCATTGCATTTGACATGCGTACTTGAGATACATGCATAAAGGTGCATTTCCTTTTGCTACCAGGTTTTGGGGACATTTATGATTTTAACCTGTATCTTGACATTTAGGCATGGAGAAGTACTTTCCTCATGCTATCTGAAAATGAAACATTTTACTATTTTTTGAAAGAAGTTTTGGAAAAAATCACAGTTTTTAAACTTACTCGTATTTTGGCTTTTTTGGTAAAAGATTTGGATTTTCACTGAGATACTTGAAAAGAAATGCCTATTTTTCTGGAACTGTGAACGGATTGAGCCTTTTAATTCTGAGATACTCTTTTGTTACGTGTACTATATTGTTATGAACTGTTGTGGAATATTGATGTTGGACCCGAATTTTCCGTTAGCTCGTCACTACTTTCAACCTAAGGTTAGGTTTGTTACTTATTGAGTACATGGGATCAGTTGTACTCATACTACACTTCTGCACCTTGCATGCAGATATTGGATGCTGATGTTGTTGTGTTCGCTGGGAGCCGGATTTGAAGATGTACTTGCTTCCCGGTTGTAGCTGCCTCTTGTTCGTGGTAGCCTTAATCTATAAAACTCTGTTTATGTACTTTTCAAACAAACGATGTATTTATTTCATTTCCGCTTTGTAAACTCTATTCTTAGAAGCTCATGATTTGTACTACCAGTTCTTGGGGAATGTATAAGATTCAGATAATTTCTTTGCTTAAATTGCCTTATTAATTGTTATTGGAATCAGTTAGTGGTTAGCTGGCTTACCCAGCGGGTTGGGTTCGGTGCCATCATGACAAGTTAGATTTTGGGTCGTGACACCTTCGGTCTCCGCTGTAGGGTTTATACTGGTATTGGGTCGATCTCGATTCATGGTCGGCGACTCTCTTAGACTTGTCATCGGTTCTAATGGGATAAGTGGACCTAGAGGGGGCCCTGAGCTGGTCATCCTCGACTCTGATTTAAGTCCTTGAGTTAATGCTTGAACGTCCCCAATCATTCGCAGCCGTAGGCAAGTCCATCCGTTCCATTTGAAACCTTGACATGAACTCCCTAAGCATTTCGTTGTCTTTTTGCTTAACCTTAAAGAGGTCCGATTTTCTAGTTTCGACCTTTATGACCCCAACATGTGTCTTCACAAAAACATCTGCAAGCATAGCAAACAAATCAATAGAATTTGAGAGTAAGTTGTGATACCATATCATTGCTCCTTTTGACAGAGTTTCTCCGATTATTTTTAACAAAACCGACTCGATTTCGTCATCTTCCAAGTCATTTACTTTTATGGCACATGTGTAGGAGGTCACATGCTCGTTGGGATCATTGGTTCCGTTGTACTTTGGAATGTGGGGCATATGAAATCTCTTCGGTATCGGTTTCAGTGCAATGCTCGGAAGGAAAGGCTTTTGGATAAACTTCTTGGAATCCGGTCCTTTTAGTATCGGGGGCATTCCCGGGAATTGATCGACCCTGGAGTTATAAGTCTCCACCTTTTTATCGTTGGCCTCAATTTTATTCTCACCTGATTCCACCAACTTTGTCAATGCTTCAAGCATTTTCATTATCTCGGGGTTGGTGCCAGGCTCAGCTTCACCCTACCTCCTGGTATTTTGCTCATTTATTCTGGTACTCTCCCGGGACCATTCAGGCGCGGCCCTAACGGGAGGCTGGCCCTGATTCTGTAGTTGTGCTATCTCCGCCTGTTGAGCCTGCAGCATTTCAAAGATTATCCACATGTTTATCCCATCACCTTCGCCTTTGAGCATTTCTCGAACTGTTGACCGAGGGCCTCCACGAACGCTGTTTTGGGGGTTGGTTGGCAGGTGGGCGTCGATAGCAATGTGTGAATTGGCGTTGATTGGATCATCAACTGGAACTCCGTTGGGATCAGCAGGGGGCACCTCATTGCTAGGCACCAGGTTGTTATTTTCGACATGATGGCCAGACTCAGCCTCAACGTTTAAGTGGGCAGATTGAGAGTTTTACATTTTTAGGCTGACCTGAAATTAAAACCTTAAAAAACAAGCGTACAATATGGTATTTTATGGAAATTTGTATCAAATCACCATTATTATCCTTAGCCCCACGGTGGGCGCTAAACTGTTTACCCTTAAAACGGATAATAATTGAATTTGTACGCGATTTTGAGGATATGTGGATTACTTCAACAAATAATCAAACCAGTTGTGACGTTGAATTCGGGCTCGAATTTAAGCTTAACGGTAGTTTTGCCCTTGACAGGCCCTCGATTCGAAGCCAAATGTATATGAAGAACTAGGATTAAAATAAGGACTTTTCAATAACTAAGAAGAAGAGAAAAAAGTTTGTATTGCCTTGGTATGCGTGTTACAATATATTCTATCAAAGAAAAAGTTTTTCCCTAGTACAATTCTAAAAAAAGGTAAAAATCCTCTTTTCTCGTCAACTACTAATTTGCTGTCGATGTCGGGCGAGATCTGCGCCGTGATATCCGGCGGAGTGCGGATATCACGACGCTCTGTTAGTCGTATGTAACCGCTGCCATGCTTTCCGAGGTCTCGGAGCTCGTTCCGGGATCGGGGAAGTGTTGTCCTATCAAGCCCGGTGTTCAGGCTTTAGTACGAGACGCCTCGGCTTCGATTCCGACCCCATATAGTTATGCCTTTGTTGCGTTTGACCCACCGGAATATCGGGGTACTTGTTACCCCGATTTTATCGGATATCGTACTTCCAAAACTTCTTGTGTGTCTGTTATACTCATCAATCATATTACCCAAATAAAATACATTAGACAATTCTGCAGTCACTGCATATGATAGCATGTTAATTCTCCTTGTTTTATAAATTATTTACATTTATTAACTATACATTATAAATATTTTCATTCTGTGTTTACTGGAAAGGACAGAAGAAAAGATTACGTAACTTTAAAAATTAGTAGATTATGGTAATCTGCACAACGATTTGCCCCCAATTAAGATTATAATCTGCAGTTCTTGATTTTTGTCTTTTGGTGGTTGGCTCACTTGGTTTTTTTAGCTCCAGTATTTAATCTAAATTTTAACTACTAACTATATAATAAATGAAAGCCCCTTTAACGACCAAGGGTATTTTTGGTATTTATGTGTTTATTTAGGGATTAATTAGGTAATTTAGAATAAACTTTGTACATCTTGAATTTTTAACATGCATGTTGCTAATTGCAGCTGATTTTGCTCATTCTTATTTTTTTCTTCTTACAATCAATCAGTTTTACTTACATCACCACAATATTCTTCAATTGGGTTTCTCTTTTCTTCGAACTTTTATAATTTTGTTATTTTTTATGAGATTTCAGTTAAGCTGAATAGTAATAAATCTATTTCCTCAACCTGATTAATGAAAGTCATTAATCAGGTGGCAATTTTGATGGTTGCAATTTTGATGGTTGCAGTTTTTTTAAAGTGGAAGTTGATCAAGGTGGGGAAAAAAGGGACAACTGCTTCGACTCTAAGAGGTAATATTTGCACTTGCTACTGAAGTAGTGGTAGGAGTAAGTAGTGAAAATAGGGAACAAATTATGCCTTGTCTTTGCAGTGCAAGTTTATTTTCTTGATATACTGTGTTTACAATCAATTGCAAATAAAGATAGTTTCTATATTCTTTTTCATGCTAAAACCATTTGCAAGTTCAGTCTTTGATTCTTCTAGGACATCATTTTATTTATTGTGCAGGCCATCTGTCTATGGCACAATCTGGATTTCCTTAGCTGATTCATTTAAATCCTATTTGTGCAACAGAAGTACAACTCTCTACACCGCGTAGTTCTACTAATATATTTACCACAAGTTTCATCACATTTCAAAGTTGGCTTCCAAAAATGTTTTAACACAATAACTTAAAGCTTGAAGCTACTAATTTACATTTAGGAATTAGTTATTGAGCTAGGCCAATAACTTTCGGATTCATTGTGCCTTAGAATTGACATATCAGGTTGATTTTGTTCACTATTCTCTTTTAGATGGAATATGAGGTAAAAAGTCAAAATTGAAAATCCAAAACACTCTTGCCAAGGATTAACTAGGAATTGTAATTGTTACGATTCACTTTCATCCTACTGAATATCGTAGTTTATACTTCTGTCTACTCATTTTATTGCATGTACTAAAGACTAACTCTTTCATCTGCTTACAGGGAGAGCAGCCTATGTAGATATAGCTTGTGACTCTGAGCTGGTCAAGCTTGCCATAGGCTTGACTAACCTTCTGGTAAATAATTTCTGTCTAAATTTGTTATTTCTTTCCTTTAGCCCTACTCTATGCAAAACACCTTGGATGAGCTCTTAACTCTAACATAAACAAATGATCTATTGTTTCAACATTTTTGTTTGTGAATTTGTTCTTACGCAACATTTAAATGATAAGACTACTTCTCAGGCCTAAAATCAATTCTTTTTTGTAAAAATATCCACATCAAGTCCTCTGTTATCTCTGAATATTCTATGGGTTAAATCATGTATATGATTGGTCCTTTGCTACTTCTACAAATCATACATCCGAAGATGATAACAAAATGGCTTGACATCTTCCTTGTACAAAGTGAACAAGGAAGATAACGATTCGATTCTTTTCTGTACCTATCTATATTAGGTTTTCTTTTAGTAGAATAATTTCTACCAAAACTATTCTATGATTTACATGTAAGTGCCAAAATCATAAAGCTAGAATGTCAAATATGATCATTAGTCACTGTACTATGTTAAACTTTACCTAACAAATAGCAATCAGAGAAATATTCTTTATCCATTTCACCCATAACTTGTCTTGTTTATGCTCTAGGTCCCAGACTATTTTTGCAATAGCTGCTTTATTACATATCTGTAGGTTAATCAAGTTGAGACCACCAACAGATTTAGGTAGACAGATTCTTTCCCAAGCAACCAAAGCCTTCTTGGTAATTGTATTAGCTCCAGACCATAAGTAGCTTCTGCAATATGCTTCTATCAACTTAAGAACTTTTACGGGTATTATGAACAATTGAGACCAGTATGCTTGTATCCAAATAAAACTGTCTGTATCAGCTGAAGCCTTCCTGCATAGGAGAGCTTTTTTGCAGTCCATGAAGTAATTCTAGCCACCATCTTATCAATGAGGGGATGCCATTGTATAATTGTCAATTTCTTAGTATCTAAAGGGATCCCTAAGTACTTGACCGGCAACTCCCCATGAGTGTAACCAAGAACCTGTAGGATCTCTTCTTTAATGTTTGCCTCCATTCCTCCGAAATAGACAGCACTTTTTGATAAGTTTGCTTGTTGGTCAGATGCAGCAGAGAAGATGAGGAAACAATCATTCAATGCCTTCACAGATTCTACATCCCCCTAGCAAATAAGAGCAGTCATCTGCGAAACTTAGATGAGTAATATCTAGTTTCCCACATCTTGGATGGTACTTGAAATGTTTCACTTGCTTCAGACCAAGGAGGGTCCTGTTCAAATATTCCATAGCTATGGCAAAGAGGAAGGGGGACATGGGGTCCCCTTGTCTCAAACCTTTAGCTGCATTGAAAGGCTCCAATGTCTCTCTATTGAAAAGAATCGAGTAGTTGACTGTTTTAACACAAGTCATTACCCATGCAACAAACTTTGTTGGGAAATCTAACTCTTCCATAATCTGCTCTATGTATATCCATTCCACTGAGTCATATGCTTTCTGCATGTCTACCATTATCATGCACCTAGGAGAGATATGTTTTCTGCTATAAGCCTTTACCGGTTCATGAGATAAAATGACATTATCTACTATCTTTCTTCCAGGTATAAACCCAGCCTGTGCTTCTGAGATAATGAAAGACATTACTTTTTACATTCTGGAAGCTATGATCTTGGATATTAATTTATATGGAACAGTACAACAAGCTATGGGTCTAAAATCTTTCACAGTAACTGGATTAGCTACTTTAGGAATCAGAGTTAAAGTAGTGCAGTTTATACCCTTGTACATAGTACCTGTAGCGAAGAAATCCTTTACTGCATCACACACTTCCTGCTTAATAATTGGCCATGATTTTTTAAAGAAAAGTGCATTGTAGCCATCAATTCCAGGGGATTTATCATCACCAATTGAGCACAAGCCCTCTGTTAGTTTACAGCATGTATATAGTGTAGTATTGTCCCACATTAGTAGAAGAGTAGTATGTCCTTGTATAGTATAGCTATAAATAAGGACCTCTTGTATTGTATTGTTCATCCAATATCAATAACATATTTTCTCCCGTGCCTTCTCACATGGTATCAGAGCAATTGTGAGAGACTTATTGCTGTGCATAAATTCCAGCGATTCCGGAAAAGAGAAATCGCTGTGCATAAATTCTAGCGATTCCGGAAAAGAGAAATCAGTACTTTTTTAAGGCTGTTTTCTATCTGCTTCATTTCTGTCAGTGTTGTGCAAAATCCAACACTACCACAAGAGTCGTCACTGTCCGACGACCAAACCCCAGTGAAAAACTCCGGCAACAGCCTCCTCACGCACCACCAGAAGCTCACGCGCGTGAGCTCACGCGCCGGCGCGTACGACCACTTCCGGCCATTTTTTAAAAATCTTCCTTCAGAACAGTTGGGGCGTCTGGCAATTCCAATCCTACCCCTACTGTTTTCATTTCATTCCGAAAACTTTGAATTATTTTCCGGCAGCTACAGTACTATTCCGACAGCTACAGTAGATTCCGCAGCTACAGTATTTCAGTATTCTATTTCTGTGGATTACAGTTGATTCTTTANTGTTTCTGTGTTTCCGTACACTGTTTCAGTGGATTACAGTTGATTCTTTCTCCTATTTGGTAATAATTTGCAACAATGTCTTTGGGATTTGATGCTTTTGGGTCTAGAAACATGAGTTCCGGAAGTTCTAGTGCTATTATTACCTCGGAACCTTTAATGGGAGGTTCAAACTACTTAGCTTGGGCTTCATCTATCGAGTTATGGTGTAGAGGTCAAGGTGTTCAAGATCATCTAATCAAACAGTCTAGCGATGGATATGAAAAGGCAATAGCACTTTGGGCAAAAATCGATGCTCAGTTATGTAGCATCTTGTGGCGATCTATTGATTCCAAGTTGATGCCCTTGTTTCGTCCATTCCAGACATGTTATTTGGTTTGGGCAAAGGCACGCACCTTATACACTAATGACATATCTCGCTTCTATGATGTGATATCACGGATGACAAACTTAAAGAAGCAGGAATTGGATATGTCTACTTACTTGGGTCAAGTACAGGCAGTCATGGAGGAATTTGAGAAGTTGATGCCAGTTTCTGCTAGTGTGGAAAAACAACAAGAGCAGCGACAGAAGATGTTTCTCGTTCTTACCCTCGCTGGACTTCCTAATGATCTTGATTCAGTACGCGACCAGATTTTGGCTAGTCCGTCTGTCCCTACAGTTGATGAATTATTCTCTTGATTACTCCGCCTTGCTGCAGCACCAAGTCCACCAGTGATCTCATCACAGATACTTGATTCTTTTGTTCTTGCATCCCAGACAATGGATGTTCGGGCATCTCAAACTATGGAGCATAGACGAGGAGGAGGTCGTTTTGGAAGATCTAGACCCAAGTGTTCTTATTGTCATAAACTTGGACACACTCGTGAAATGTGTTATTCTTTACATGGTCGTCCACCCAAAAATGCTTACATTGCTCAGACTGAGACTCCAGGTAACCAAGGATTTTCTTTATCTAAAGAAGAATATAATGAGCTCCTTCAGTATCGAGCAAGTAAGCAGACATCTCCACAAGTAGCCTCAGTTGCTCAGATTGATGCTTCTGTTACTGGTAATTCTTTTGCTTGTGTTTCCCAGTCTAGCACTCTTGGCCCATGGGTCATGGACTCCGGCGCTTCTGATCATATCTCTGGTAATATATCACTTTTGTCAAATATTGTATATTCACAGTCTCTTCCCACTATTACTTTAGCCAATGGATGTCAAACTAAGGCAAAAGGAGTTGGACAAGCTAATCCCTTGTCTTCTGTCACCCTAGATTCCGTTCTTTATGTCCCTGGTTGTCCTTTTAGTCTTGCATCTGTTAGTCTTTTGACTCGTGCCCTCCATTGTGGTATATATTTTATTGACGATTCTTTTATTATGCAGGACCGCAGTACGGGACAGACAATTGGTACAGGGCATGAATCAGACGGCATTTACTACCTTAACTCACTCAGTCCTTCCACAACATGTCTAGTTACAAATCCTCCAGATCTAATCCACAGACATTTAGGACATCTGAGTTTATCCAAACTTCAAAAGATGGTGCCTAGTTTATCTAGTTTGTCTACATTAGATTGTGAGTCGTGTCAACTTGGGAAATATACCCGAGCCTCCTTTTCGCGTAGTGTTGAGAGTCATGCAGAGTCTGTCTTCTCCTTAGTTCATTCTGATATATGGGGCCCTAGTAGAGTCAGTTCATCCTTGGGATTTCGTTA